TGTTCAAGATGTCTATATGAGTTTGGATCTGGAAATCCCACAAGATCTTGACTTCCTTATTTTCTGACACCTTCTCTATCTGATGTTCCTGTGGCTTTTTAGAAGCTGACAAGTTATACTTTTTACATAATGAATTAATTTTGCCACTATATCTAATTTTGTAATCCGTTTATGCTATCTTTGGACATTCAAAGATGAGATGTGACAGTCTCATCTTTTTCTTGGCAGAGTCGACATTTGCTGTTAGCACTAATTTCTTGGATCTTATCTTTCATCACATTGGTTTGAGTGCTTGTTCTTGTGCAGCAAAAAATCAAGCCTTCTGTTTCTTTCTTAAGGGTTCCATGCCCATGTTAAATTTTGATCATGCTTTCCATCAGTATTTCTCAGGGGTTGTCCATGTAGTCATTTGTTTCTCCAGCTGTTTAATTTATTTTCAAATTGTTGTTTCTTATATTGAGCCTTTGTTTCTGCTGTTTTCAAAATATTCTCCATTTTCACTGCCTTCAGTAATTTTTCTCTGCTCGCACTGATGTAATCATTTAGGCTTCTTCTACTACCTGCTGTATTCGCAGTAATCCACGGCCTCCAATTTTTCATGGTAAATGTAATCTGTCCACATTACTTTTTGGTTGTGTTCACTGCCTTCAGTAATTTTTCTCTGCTCACACTGATGTAATCATTTAGGCTTCTTTCCCCCCTCTTCTACTACCTGCTGTATTCGCAGTAATCCACGGCCTCCAATTTTTCATGGTAAATGTAATCTGTCCACATTACTTTTTGGTTGTGGTGTATGATGCATGTTTATTAGTTTCTGTGCTTTTTGATACAATTCTTCTACAATTTGTTTTGAGTCCAGTCTATTATTCCAGCTGGGTATCTCATTACTGGAACAGCCCATGTGTTTATGGCTTTGATTGTATTTCCACCATCTAATTTTGATTTTAAGATATTCCGCAGTCTTTTGATATAGTCTCTTTCTTACAATTCTTTAACTTTTCTGTGCACCGTGTTATTTTTTTCTAGTATTCCAAGGTATTTATAATTTTGATCACTTGATAGTGATTTTATAATATTGTCATTTTTAATTGTATTTGTCTAGTTTTTTGATCTTGCCACAGTGTATAGACAGAGCTGCACATTTGTCAATTCCAAATTTCATTTGGATATCTTCATTAAATATTTGCACAGTGTTTAGCAGTGATTCTATCTCTGTAGAACTTTTTACATATACTGTAATTTTAAATCATTTAGATGACTGATTTTTCCTGCTTGTTCTGAAATATGTTAGCTCAATCCAGTTTTATTTAAAATTATTGACATGAGGATTAGTGTCATGTTAAACAGCAGTGATGACAAAGAATTCCCCTGAAATATTCCTCTTTTGATTCTTGCTTCGCCAATTTCTTCATCATAGGCCACCAAGACCATTTCCCATTTTTCCATGTTATTCTTGAGGAACTTCTGAATATTTTTACTAATCCCAAAATGTTTTAGGCAGGTGTTAATCCAGCTTTGTGGCAATGAGTTAAATGCCTTTTAATAGTCTATCCAGGCCATGTTAATATTTCTTTTTTGTCTTTTTGCATTCTCCAGTATCATTTTATCAATAAGCAGCTGATCTTTCGTGCCTCTTAACTTTTTAACATACCGTTTCTGTTCAGTTGGGTATAGGGAGTTTTCAGTTAAGTAATTATATATTGATCTTGCAAGTACTCCTGTGAGGAGCTTGAACATTGTTCATTGGACTTTTGATGATCTTTTGTTATCAGAAATATGCAGTCTGTTATCATCCAATCTTCAGCTCTAGAATTTTGATTAAATTGTACTTCCATATGTTTGTGAAGACTTGTTAAATGCTTTAACCAAAATCCATGCAGCTCATCTGGACCAGGTGCACTCCAATTTTTCACAGCCTTGCCTCTTGATCATTTCAGTTGTTATTACAATATTCATTTGTTTTCCTTGAGTTTCTTCTTCTTCTTCTTCATCATCATCATCATCATCATCATCATCACCATCATCATCATCATCATCATCATCATCATCATCATCATCATCATTGTAATAATAATAATAATAATAATAGTAGTAGTAGTAGTAGTAGTAGTAGTAGTAGTAGTAGTAGTAGTAGTAGTAGTAGTAGTAGTAGTAGTAGTAGTAGTAGTAGTAGTAGTAGTAGTAGTAGTAGTAGTAGTAGTAGTAGTAGTAGTAGTAGTAGTAGTAGTAGTAGTAGTAGTAGTAGTAGTAGTAGTAGTAGTAGTAGTAGTAGTAGTAGTAGTAGTAGTAGTAGTAGTAGTAGTAGTAGTAGTAGTAGTAGTAGTAGTAGTAGTAGTAGTAGTAGTAGTAGTAGTAGTAGTAGTAGTAGTAGTAGTAGTAGTAGTAGTAGTAGTAGTAGTAGTAGTAGTAGTAGTAGTAGTAGTAGTAGTAGTAGTAGTAGTAGTAGTAGTAGTAGTAGTAGTAGTAGTAGTAGTAGTAGTAGTAGTAGTAGTAGTAGTAGTAGTAGTAGTAGTAGTAGTAGTAGTAGTAGTAGTAGTAGTAGTAGTAGTAGTAGTAGTAGTAGTAGTAGTAGTAGTAGTAGTAGTAGTAGTAGTAGTAGTAGTAGTAGTAGTAGTAGTAGTAGTAGTAGTAGTAGTAGTAGTAGTAGTAGTAGTAGTAGTAGTAGTAGTAGTAGTAGTAGTAGTAGTAGTAGTAGTAGTAGTAGTAGTAGTAGTAGTAGTAGTAGTAGTAGTAGTAGTAGTAGTAGTAGTAGTAGTAGTAGTAGTAGTAGTAGTAGTAGTAGTAGTAGTAGTAGTAGTAGTAGTAGTAGTAGTAGTAGTAGTAGTAGTAGTAGTAGTAGTAGTAGTAGTAGTAGTAGTAGCCTGCCTTAATGTCCACACTTCTTTGCCACACAACTTTGAGGTACATTATGGTGTACATTATGTTAGGAACACATGCCTTCTATTCCCCTTTCTAGTTTGGTAACTGGCCTCTATTCCACAGTAAGGCAGAGGACTCTAAGGTTTTTAACATTTTCTCACTCAGTCTAAATAGCTTTGTACGTTAATATAGTTTGGTTTGTTTGTTTCAGCTTTGACTTTTTCATTTCCTTGCATTTGTGTCTTTGTGTGCATTTCACACCATTTGCATACAACCTTTTCTCTCTGTACTCCAGTAACATAATTCATTTATATCTGAAATGTTGTAATTTTTATGTGTTGAAGCTGTCAGTGGAAAAGTGAGCGTTGTGTGGGTTAGTGCCTGAAAAATCATACTAGCTTGCAAGCACGAGGAGGATATTTAGCAGTCAGGAAGGAGTTGTAAGAGTGGGACTAACTCTGAACAGATAAATACCTGAAACAGTACAGAGAAGTACAGTTACACATACATGCTGTCATGAAGGTGGTGGGTGTTGTTAATTTTATCTATTAACAGTTTTATGTGATTATTGTGCAACTTAATAAAACATGGTTTTATTATTTATATGGTTTTATTGTTTATATGTTTTAGTTTAATCAGATTTAGACTGCATTTGGCTTTGGCTAGTTACACTGGACTCATATTTTATTTTTTAAAGTGATGTTGGCTTAGAATTTGTGGCCTGAAAACATACCAGCCCTTAATGTCTTCAGTCTTTTACAGTATTTTAGCTGAGTGTGGTTCTTTCCAAAAGTCAAGCACTGGATTGCCTCCTCCCTGAGCTGCAGTCAGGATCCAGGATTTATGAGGCACACCCTTGTTCTTGAGTATTTGGACAAAGTGTGGTCTCATTGCCTTCTCACGCATGAGTTCTGTGGGGAAACAGCATGAGCCGTTTTATCCATGTCAGGTCCATCAGTCTGGATCCATCTGGTGGCAATGGAATGTGGGCTCTGTTCTCAGCTGTACCTTTGTCCTATTTGCTTAAGTTATCTATTTTGAAATCTATCTATTTTTGTGTCCTGCCCACTGTAAACTATGGCCTCATCCCTATGGATCTGGCTTCTCTGCCTGCCAGGTTTTTCCCCTATGTCTTGGCCCAGAGAAGAGCTATTGGTTTGGAAAATACTTGTAGTCCAAACAGAAAAATTCTCATGTTTTTTTTTCTAGTTTAGGGGTTATATTCTATAGGGGGAAAGCCTCCCTTCAGATAGTCTATATTCACTTTCATGCATATTCTGTTTTTAGCATGTAATTCAGTCAAGAGGTTTTGTCAGCTTTATGACCATGAGGTAAGATACTTCCAATAAACATATAGGCATATGTGTAATTTCTTAGTGTCTGTCTAGGATGAAAATAGTTCCTAAGAGGAAAAGGATTGTGTAGCATGGGCTTCTTTTGTAGACTGGTATTGTGCCGTTCCCCTTGTGGATTGCATCAGTCATGTGCAGTTCCCTGTATCTACTCTGTAGAAAAACATGGTCACAGTTTGGGCTCCAGACAGACATGACATGGCTTTCCAGAACCGAGAATACCAAATGAAAGCACCTCATGCATTTGCACTAGGTTAAGCGTACCTGTTGGGTCATCTCAGGAGGAACTGCATACCAAGGATCCACATTGCAGAGTGTCCTTGGGTTTCATTGTAACTGGTATCAAACATCAACATTCAGTTGTAACAGAAACATTAATAGCAGGAGATTTACACAGTGTCAATCTACATAGCTACAGGGCTTGTTAAAATTGACAAATTTGGTTGAAATTAATAAAGAAATTGTAATCTGGAATGATTGTAGTGTTGTCTCTAAATATTCCTCAACCAAGCATTTGTTGAGCCATAAACTGCTAGAATTGTCACTTTTCTACTAATTACATGCCTTCTAATTCAGTTTTTATTGGTTTTCTTGTTTGCTGAAAAGAATATTTGTTTTCTATAGCTTCCGATATTTTTAGGATAATTTTGCACTATAGATATTGGTTTTCTTGTTTGCTGAAAAGAATAATTTTTTCTACAGCTTCTGATATTTTTAGGATAATTTTGTACTACAGATACTGTAGATTTGAAGCTCAGGAACTAACTTCAGTTTGTTCCCTGCCCCCAGATAGTGTCGCAGCTTGAAACCCAGATTGCTAAACTGACAGAGACGCTGGAGACACAGGCTGTGTTGCACAAAGAGGCCTTGACAAGGACCAGAAAAGCAGAGAGCAATGCGGAGACACTTCATGATCAATTGATGCGTCTGGAAGGGGAGCTGGTGTCTGGGGACATGATAAGAGATGCTTTGAAGCTTGAGAAGGAAAAAGTAATAGCTTTTTTTTGTATAGGAGGGGTACAAGACAAACTAGAGTCTTGAACTGAACAAATCTGAATTCATGTTGTGTTAATTTAATTTTCACGCATTATGGTATACATATTACATTCTACTAGCATTATATCAGGTTTGGTGCAGTTACTTGATAACTCAGCATGGTTAGGATAGTAGAAGAAGGCAGCTGTTTCTTCTTAATCAGGATCATACCTTACTGCAAGGCAGTGGAAGGTGGGGGGAACTCTTAGGAAAAGTTGCGAGGGACAGTTTTTACACTTGCCTAGAAAAAAAAGTACATCTTTTCAAGGTTTAGAAATTGCTTTAAAAAGATGCTAAGGGGTTTTAAAATGTCACTTCTGCTGTTAATAAGATGCTGGAATGTGAGACTAGTACTGGCTTGCTGGATAACTGCTTGTGTACCCCAGCACCTTCGTCTTTTAGTAATAAGTTGCACTTATTTTAAAAAAAATGCACACAGATGTCCAACAACGGAAATTCCCTCTATAAAGCAAGAAAGGAGATATATCTGCACAGAGGAAACATCCAGCATGCAAGGGCAGCAGAAAATGAATTAAAATATATGTATATATGTAATGAAAGAAGTACTGTAGTAGGATTCCCAATGAAGTGTAGTGGATAGAGTGATGGACTAGGACTCTGGAGAACAGGATTTGAATTTGTGCTCAGCCATGGAAACTTGCTGGGGAGTGGAACTAGTAAAGGTAAAGGTAAAGGTTCCCCTTGACATTTTTAGCCCAGTGGTGTCCGACTCTAGGGGTCAGTGCTCATCCCGTTTTCAAGCCGTAGAGCCAGCACTTGTCCGAAGACAGTTTCCATTGCCATGTGGCCAGCATGACTAGGGAACACCGTTTTACCTTCCCCCCAAGGTGATACCTATTTATCTATCTTAAAAAGGCTAGTAAGGTTGCTATAAGTTGGTTCCGGCTTGACAGCACCGAACACATACAGTGGGGTCTTGACTTGAGAACTTAATCCGTATTGGAAGGCGGTTCTCAAGTCAAAAAGTTGGCAGGTCAAATCTGCATTTCCCATAGGAATGCATTGAAAACCATTTGATCCGTATCTGCTCTTTTCCGTCCATAGAAACTAATGGGAAGCTGCTATTCTGCCTTCGACCACTAGAGGGGGATATTTTGTTTCTTTTTTTCTTTAGGACTCTGGAGAACAGGACTTGAATTTGTGCTCAGCCATGGAAACTTGCTGCGGAGTGGAACTAGTAAAGGTAAAGGTTCCCCTTGACATTTTTAGCCCAGTGGTGTCTGACTCTAGGGGACGGTGCTCATCCTGTTTTCAAGCCGTAGAGCCAGCACTTGTCCGAAGACAGTTTCCATTGCCATGTGGCCAGCGTGACTATGGAACGCCGTTTTACCTTCCCACTGAGGTGATACCTATTTATCTATCTTTAAAAGGCTAGTAAGGTTGCTATAAGTTGGTTCCGGCTTGACAGCACCAAACACATACACTGAAATATGCATGCATGTATATATAAGGAAATTGAGAAATAACTGAAAAACAAAGATATTAGACGGATGCATAAGAGGAGTCACAAAGAAAGCGTACTCCTCACTGAGCTAATTTCATGATCAAAACTTGAATGAAATACAGTATGTTTCTCACAATCTATAAGAGCCAGAGTGGCTAGATGATAGATCTGCTTCACAGCTGCAAACCAGATGCCTTTATTGTGAGACCTTATTGAAACAAAGAGACAGATGATACAGGCATTGGAGCCTAGAAAAGATACTTTTTTAGACTATTTCCTCACCCAGAATGGTCAAGGCATTGGAGCCTAGAAAAGATACTTTTTCAGACTATTCCATCACCCAGAATAGTCAGTGGCTCTTCTCTCTCTCTCTCTCTCTCACACACACACACACACATGTCTCTTGTAACACAGAGATAGAAGTTGAAGATTAATTTGGTTGTGTTTGGTTTTGGGACACACCAGTCTTTCCAGCTAACACAGAGATAGAAGTTGAAGATTAATTAATTTAGTTGTGTTTGGTTTTGGGACACACCGGTCTTTCCAGTTGTAAAACTTTTAAATATATGATATGGAGGTTGCTAGTTTGACCAGCAGTTGTAAGACTGAATCCACGCGACAGAGTGAGCTCCTGTCGCTTGTCCCAGCTCCTGCATGTAAAAATGCAAGTAGATAAATAGGTGCCACCTTGGTGGGAAGGTAGTGGCGTTCCATGTCTAGTAGTGCTGGCCACATGACCACAGAAACTGTCTTTGGACAAATGCTGGCTCTATGGCTTGGAAACGAGGATGAGCACTGCGCCCTAGAGTCAGACATAACTGAACTAAATGTCAAGGGGAACCTTTACCTAGTTTGACCAGCATAAATAGGAATGCTCAGTAATTGAGTGCAGCTTTTAAAAATGCAGAAGTGTCTGTCAGTATTTTTTCTACACAAGTTGGCTCTTAGCTGATTTGCCTAGTGCAGCTTTTAAAAATGCAGAAGTGTCTATCAGTATTTTTTCTACACAAGTTGAGGTCATGTTATACTACCTCCCTCTGACTGAACTTGGCCCTAGTTTCAAAACTGTCTGCTGTACAGAGCACATACCTAGGATATGTTGCTTTTTGAATCGCTTCCTAGAGTTTAAAGAGAGAGAACAACTTACAGGAAGCCAGTTTCCAAAATGATTGGGGGCTGTGACTGCTTGGTCAAAACTCTAAAACGTCTTCCACCTAATAGATGACTCTGTGGCTGCAGCTCTGGGAAGAGACAGGCCATTGTTTTATTGAATAATTTGCTAAAATAAAACACTACTGGTGGCCAGTTGTTTGGGGAAGGCAAGTGTCACACACACACCCAGTTCCCCTGTTTGTTTTTCTACACACCTAGGTTCCCTTTCGGGCATGACATGTACTTTTCACCCTTTTTCACTCCTGTAATCATTGTATGAACCTGTTTCGGGGGAGAATAATTTGTCCAGGATCTCAGCCTCTTAAACACATTCACATTCCTGTTTCAAAGTAGTTTCTAGAAAAGGAGAAAGTGGTTTTCCTTTTTGAACATATCAAAGTGACATTTTTATCGCCTGTCTCCATTTCTTCCCACATTTTCTGTCTGAAGTATCTTAAGTTTCTGGATCAACTTTCTGAAAAGATGAATGTGGTCAGGGTGGCAGCTGACATTGGATTTGACATGAGATTGGATACAATATTGGCTCGTGTGGAACAATTAGTCAAACTGGAAGGAGATACGTTGACTGAAAATAAGATCATAGCCCGCAATCTCCAAAGAAAGGTAGGAAAAAGAAAGCAGTATTTGAGAATTTTGTGTTTCTTAACAAAGTTCACTATTTGATTGTTTACATCAGTGTTGTGAAGAGTCAAACTAAAACCAGCGAGGTGAGTGGAGGTGGGAATCAAACCCCAGTCAGCCAAGAAACTTGAGCCAATCACAGCCTCTCTTCCTGCTACAGGTGACTCATGAATCAAGCAGGCAATACCATCTTTTGCCATTTGGGAATGAGTTGTTCTCTCCTCTTCTGTCCAGAAACTACTACTGCCCCCTGTATATCTTAAAAGCAGAGATGGGAAACATTTGGTGGTGTTTGGGTTTTTTGTTTGTTTGTTTGTTTGTTTGTTTGTTTGTTTGGACTACAGCTCCCAAAATTCCACAGGCAGGACTATCGCTGGCAAACAAACATTTCCTATCTCCACTCACAGAACAGGTATAAAATAGAGGAACAACCATTGATGTCACATTGAGTTCCTTCAAGGAAAGGCATGTTTTAACTGAAGGATTACACTAAATAGATAAAATCTGGTTGTCTATGCTTATTTCTTTTTCTGGAATTCAGTTGAAAGCTCAGAAGGAGCAGCTTGAGAACAAAGAGCTCCAGATTAAGCTTTTGCACCAGAAGATAGTTCAGCTGGAAGAAGAGAAGCATGTGCGCACAGCCCTGGCCGTTGAACGAGATGAGGCCAACCTTACTGTCAGGAAGTTACAAAAGAAGGTGGACAGACTTCAGAATGAACTTTCCTTGGCAAGAGAAACAAATACAGATCTTAAGGTTAAATTGGCTGACGCCAATGAACTGAAGGTAGATAACAAGAGTTAACTTTAAAGCTGTATTTGGAAAGGGAGAATAAATGCAAGTGGTCTCAACCAGAGCTGTCCTTGTGTCCTCTAGTTCCTTAGCTTCTGTGTTGCTTAGAGACTTGTGTTCTCCAGAATCGTGGATTTCAAATTTTTTTTTAAAAAATGTACATGCATATTAGTCTCCATGGGGGTTGGAATGTTTTGAGCAAAACAGTTAAGTAGTCCCTGAAACTTCTGTGTTCTCTGTTGCCCTTTCAAAGCTGCATTTCTTAAATTAACATAATGATAATGAGCCCTTAATATGTAGTGATATGGGGAGCTCTGAGAAGTTCCTTTTTTTGGACTGGAAATTCCCCAAATAACATACAGTACTTGAAAGAGCAGCAAATAAGCACTGATCATAGTAAATGGAAGCTTATCCCAGTTCTACTGAACAACCAGGAAAGAGCAGCAAATAAGCACTGATCATAGGAAATGGAAGCTTATCCCAGTTCTACTCCTGAACAACCAATTTTTCAAGATTCACTGCTGCTGGCTTTTTTATACTGCACAGTGCAGTATTCAATGAAATTAACTTTTTAATATATAGTTCTTGATTTGTATTTCAAGAAAATATTATGGGTATTCTTGAGTAACATACAAATAAGAATTTAAATTATTTCTTTGCTGGTTCATCCTTTATCCTGCATAAAATCAAGTGAGCATAGTCTGATAGAATACGAAGTGCTAGACATTCCACAGTTTCCAAAATTCTTCCTAGTTAAACACTTGTCCTTTAACACTGCCTTCAATGTGAGCATTTTTCTCTAACATCAAAACCGTAGCAGTCGTCCACCTCTGTGGATACCAAATGCCAATCCCGAACATCTGTGTTGTATAAAGTTTGGAAAGATGGCAATGAACCACTGTTAATATTCCTCCTTCTTACCCATCTTCTCTCTCTCTTTTGGCAATATGATGACAGTCCTCATAGGTTAAGAATAGCAAGGACGCTTGTACCTTAAATCAGAGGAGGGCAACACTGGTTTTTCTTGAAGGCAATTTTCTGCCCCTGGGATCCTATTGGGGCCTCATGGACCCCTGGCATTGGGAAAATTTGGGAAAGCATCACTAGAAGTGGTTGAAAATCCCCTTTAGATTTTTAAAAAAAGATATTTTGGAATTTAAAAAACTTTAGGGAGGCCCTGCGTGAATAACTAACTGCTGGTGCAAGTCTCTAAGGGCAATGAATCACCCTTTTGCTGGGAAAAGCCATTTTGGAAGGGAAGGGAAGGGAAAGCCAATGAGGCTGGGATCCATATAAAAAGTATCGGGGGAGGTACATGGGGGCCACTCATTTCCCATCCCTGGTTTAAAGGCTAACTATTTCATCATATGCATGTATTGGTTCCAATGTTTTTTAAAAAAAATTTTAATGCTGCCCAGAGTAGACCATTGGTCTAGATGGGTGGGGTAGAAGTCTAATAAATTATTGAATGAATGAATGAATGAATGAATGAATGAATGAATGAATGAATGAATGAATGAATGAATGAATGTTCACTTCAATAAATGATAACTGCAAGGACAAAAACCAATGAAATTGAAGAGGTACAGGACCAAACTACACTAGAGTGTTGCAATCAGCTCCTTTGAACTCTTTTTTTCCGATTAAAAGTAGCAATTTAAGCTCTGATTTAGACAGGAACAGTGAGAGATTTTGTAACTTTTCCTGCACGTAATCTCCGGCTGTCAGAGTATAGCCCTTGAATCAATTACTGAATGGTAGACCCACTGAATCCCATTGATTCAGTGCTGTAATTTGTTCACAGATCAGAACACTGGAGCAGGACAAAACGATAGAAGATCTAAGTAAGTCCCAAGAGAAATTGGAGAAGATGAAGGCAAAAGCTGAGAAGCAGCTGAGTTCTGTTAAGTCTGAGTTGCATGTTCTAGAACATGAAGCAAAGGAGAATAAAGAGAAGGCCAAAAACATGTTGGGATCTGTTACCAGTGAGCTGAACACAGTTAAATCTGCTTTAGAGGAAGTAGTGAAAAGAAAGAAACAGGTTTGTGCCAGAACGAGTAAGTAACTATATCTGAAGCAATTTTGTTTGCAACCTTATACAGTATAGGTTCAGAATACTTTGCAAGTTGTGCTGGTCTTTCGAGTGTGCCAATAGTTTCATTTCAAAGAAGACTGGATAGTTTTTTGTTGCAGGACATAAAAGCACTCATGTTGTTCCCTAGCAAAAACCTAGTTTGTCATCGCTCTTTCCTTTAGATCCACCTGTCAACCCACCTAGGTATTCTTCCTCTCCCTTCACCCACCAATCTGCTCTCTGTTGTGATAAACACTTCCCCCCCTTCACCTGCTTCTGTACACTTTTTTCTTCTCCTACCCAAATGATTTCCCCCCTCCTCACCCTCTGATCTTTCTCTTTTCTTCTTCTTCATTCTCTCCCACTTGTCCTATTTTTTTTCTTACCTGCTGGTCTCCTCTCTCACAAGGCTTGGTCAGCCTGTTCCTTACTCATCTCTCCTCTCACCTAAGAGAGATTCTTTATTTGGTTCTTGCAGTATATCCTTATGCTTCAGTAAATGCCCTCAAGTCTCTTAGATCTACTTTATGCACTTCCTCCACCCCACCCCCATTTTCTTCCCCTACCCCCCATTTCCC